CGGGCCCCCCCCCCCCTCCTGCCCCCTCTTGTGCGCCCGCCGAACCAGGCGAGCGGTGGCCCTGCACGTGGCCGCCCTGGGTGAGGACTTCCTCCCATATTCGTCCGGCGGCGCGCGGTAAGGTTTCTGTGTCAGCAGATGGTATCCATTGTAGTGTTGGTCGTCTGTATGATATGTATGTGGTGTTGGAGAGATGAGTCGGGGAGCTGGCGGGGAGCCAGAGAGCTAAGACTGCTGTGAGAGGGCCGCCGTTATAAGATTGACTCGGCATGTATGATACGGTCAAATCATTCCACGTTTCGGTTCTGCAGTCTTGAACTCGTCGGCGCCACCATCCCCTCTCCCTCACAGTCATGTGCCCGGCGGCCCCTACTTACCCCCCTTTGGGAAGGTGTCAAGGTGCACGGGATGCTGTCGGCGGCGATCAAGTCGAAAGATAGCCTCAACGAGGAGAAGGCGGCACGGGTGCAGATGACGTACGAGGTCTTCATTAATCTGGCCGCGTTCGCGTCGCTGTTTCGCCTTCGAATGGGGAAATCTGAGGTGTAGGCGCGAGGAAGAGGAGAGGGGGGTCGTCTAGAAGGTATAGCTACTTGCCCGGTTTTTGTTCGCCGGTTTGGTTGCGGAGGCCTGCCTTTCGAAGCCGCGGGGCATGCACCTCTGTCTATGCGTGCTCGTCTTCATTCTTGCTGTGAGTGCGAGGGGTTTCCTTTCGTGGTCTGGCACCAATCCCAACACATGATTGGTTCTCTGCCATTCTCTCTCGGTCAGTGCTTGAAATCAAGGCGTGCGTTAATGTGGTTCGCGGGTGACCTCGGAACGTCCGTATGAAAGCCATGTTATCTTCCCAATTTGGTTTTACGAACGACACTTGCAAGCGGTGCCTCGTTCCTTTCTTTGCTACAGTACACTACGCACGCGCCGCCCCGCCCGTACCTGTCGTACTTTGTTGTGGAAATGCCGACATTCACAGCACCACGGACTGTTTGCCACAAGGGCAATCGCGGCCCAGGAGGTCGTCACCGAGTTCAAGGGCGAGCTCATCGGCGCCGCTGAGGCACAGCAGCGAGTCGCGCACTACAACGATACGGGATTTTCTGTGAGAGCGAAGGCAGATAGACAAAATAGCTACCATTTCCATTTACAGTTGTATCTCTTAGGCGCATGAGTTGTGTATACAAGCGCAAGAGCTGGAAGTGAAACAACGTGTGTTGCTGACGCGCCGGCGCTTCGCGTGTGAGTTTCGTGATGACACCTGTGGTCTCTATCTTGTGGATACTTCTGCCCGCCCAACACTTTCGCACCCATGTTGTATTTTTCTGACACTGGTGCATGCTATACTTCACCTCAGCTGACGCCTCGAAAGCAAACCTCGTCCGTGCTTTGACGGCATGTGTGTAGGAAGAAGAGGAACGTGACACCCCCCGTTTTCATACAAGTTCAAGTCCAAGCCGGGTTGAAGTTGAGGGTTTCTCGCCCTTGCTTTACTTCGCTGTCGAAAACATGCTACATTGGCAACAGCAGCAACCATACCCAATGTAAATGTGGACACGGCGTGGGTGGATGGTATGGTAGTGTTGTGTCAAACCCGTTCGTTTGGGGTACGCCAATTGGTCAGTCAGCCCCCCACCCCTTCTCTCCGCTCCCGCCAACACCACCCTTCCTTTCCCTTTCCTGGCCTTCCCCGATCTCATCGCTGCCACAGGGGTGCTTATTACAGGTCGGAAACGACCCCCTGTACCTGGACGCCCTGCTGAAGGGGTACCCCACCAGGTTTGTGAACCACTCCTGCGGTCCAAACGCTTACCTTCATACGGTAAGCAGCGTACAATGTTTCCAACAGTAGACTCCACCACTATTTATCAGCCAATAAGATGGGATGGATGGTGCATTGCTGAGAAAACATTATGTGAACGTGCATCAAGTCTGCTATCTGTTCAGGCAGGTGCTATGCCCGCCCAGGAAGATTGGGTGTTTAATTTTCTTTTGCGTATCGAGGGAGAAAAGGCCAAAGGGGGAGGGGGCTCCTTCATGGCCCGTCCAGAGCACCCATGTTCACGGCGGTTGTGTCATCGGTTCAACTAGGTTTTTGGAATGAAACCGTTGGTCGGGTTTTCTGTCGTGTGCCCGAGAGCCATACTGCATGTTTATCGCCCCAACTTCGCCTCGTGTAAAGCCATGTTTGACATAGGCAGGCACTTCTCTTCTCCATTCACTGGTATACATACATTGTCTTCACCGTGCTTCCCACAAGCCAGTCCACACACACCGTTGATGCCACCCACCAAGAAGTTTATTTGCACGGCACCGTTCCGGGGGAGGGTGACATTTAGCTTTTTTCCTGGAGCAACTGACTGTTCCCCGGTTAGCGCGGAGGATGCAAGAATCAACCGCTAGCACTCGAACCCATTCTTATAAACAAGGCGCAACCTTGTGCACACGCCCCTCTCCCCCCCCCTCCCCCCTTAATGTTGCACCCTAAATATCTGAACGTTTTTCGCAGGCAAGGGGGCCGCGCAATCGAAGCGCATATGGGTATGTTCGATGAAAGAAATCGGAGCTGGGGAAGACCTGTGCATCACGTACCCCTGGCCGTTCACCATCAGTCCCACAGCGGCAGACACGAAGTGCACTTGCGGCGCGCCGGGGTGTCAAGAAGATATTTCGGCCCAATGACCTTTGAGAGGAGGGGGATGCGAGGGGAAAGGGCCTCTTATGTGATTTGCATGTTTGGATGCACATATTTGTTTGTTGTGCAGATTGTGTGGATGTAGTGCTACCGCCGAAGAACCTGTTGTGGAAGCTCCAATATCATGTTGTACCTGTTGTACAGAGTTTACGCATCACCGCCGCCAGTGGCGTGGAAAAAAATATTTCATGCGATGACGTGTGTTGTTTTAGGATATGTGCTCCATGTACATAGAGATGCTTTGATGTGTGTGCGAACGCCCTTGGGCGCAAGAGGTTACATAGGTGATACCATGGTATGAATTATGTGCTGAGCCAATGTCAGGTACAAAGGTTGGGGGCGTTTTGTTGATTGTTTTTTTGCGGATCGACGTTTAAATGCAAGAGAATAAATATCTCAACTTTGCCATCGAAGAAGACGGTTCTTGTGCGAGAAAACGGGAGCACTATGGCGTGAAATTGAAGGGATACAAAGCATATGTAACCGGTCTCAGAAGCAAATTCGGCACTCCGTTTCTTCAGTGAATTTATCATGAGGTGGTTGAAGACGTCCACGTGCGGGGCACTCGTTTTTGTGTCCCGTACTCATCGTGATGATATAACGTGGTGGTGTAAGTAAGTTGCTTCCCACGACCCCGACTTGACTGTTCTTTTGCAATTTCATGTGATCTCGCCACTGGTAGGTTCTATCTCCCCACCTTTCACTTCGCCGTATCTTATCCCTTGAAATGCACATAGTCTCAAGTCTACACGTGTAGCAAACGACAAGACATGACCGGAAGTGAGGAGGGGCGATCCGATGTCCCAAAAGGACGGAATCGTTGGCGTCATCACACACACTCATGACCCGCTGCTATGCACACCACTAGTCCACTCTTTGTCGCGTCATCGGAGCTAGCTCTTGCAATCCGACTGTATGCAGACCTTTCGACACCCAACCAAGATAATAGTTGTCATCAATGGAGTTCGTTGTTAGGACTTTGTCTGACAATGGTCAATTATGATCATCAATGGTTCAGTTTTCTCCTGACCCAGAGGACCACCACTACAAGATGCATCCAGCGGAGACGCGAGATTTCGTGGGACCCCAAAAACGCGGTGGCGCGCGTAGACAGACTCACAATTCGTGGGAGTCCAGATAATACAAAGGGAATGCGGGTGAAACTAAAGCCAAGACGATTGGATTCGATTGTTCGCACCGAAGTGAGGGCGGTGCGTGCGCATTACATGAGAAACAACGAAATAAAACTTCACTATTTCCTGACGACTTAAACCGAGCAAAATCCAAGACCTGAATAAGATTCAACATTAACGGCGCAAACACCAGGCAACACGCTTAGGCACACATATATAAGCGCGGTCGATGCCAATGATAAAAACACATGTATACATACAGTTTTGTGACCACGGACCGAGTCTTTGCTAGATTTTGGGATTAGCAACTGACACGAGTTAATGTCAAGAAAAACAACAACAATAACAACAACAACAACAATACACCAGTAACAAATACCTCTATACGCCAAGGCTTGAGTAAAGCCAAAGCGGTGAAAGCAATACCTATCAAAGGTGAAATGAAAAAAGACGAAGGGGGAACAACTCTGGCTACAGAGAAGTCTCCGTTTACTTGAAGACACAAGGAGGGCGGGCGATCACAACAGCAGCAGAGTGATTTGACTCACACCTATGGAACACGACCGAACACCAACATAAAAAACAAGTAAAATCTACTTCTAGGCTGCAGAAAATGTCGCCAAAAAGGGCTACTGAAAACAGCAAGCAATACAGTAGCATGGGCTTCCTGCAGCAACCCACCTAACACTACATGTAGACGCCACAACATCAAAAGCAACCCACCGAACCACGACGATCCTGGTCGTGTAAAATAAGATCTAAATAAAGAATCTTACGAAAAAAGTCTGGCTCGGTATGCACATCAACCACGTTCAGCCAGGGAACGATGAGGTCACCACCCGACAGATCATACAAAAAAAAAACAAAAAGCTGGAGACTTCTTGTTCGTTCGTATGACTGTCCCCGGTCCCCGATGCGTACAAGGAATTTTCCCTTCAAGTAAAAAAGATCCCACGTTACTTCTGCTAGACTACTACACTACATGCTCTACCTCCGGCGTGATCAAATCTGTCTGCACTGCATCTATCTCGACAGCTGCAGACACACAATGAGTCTTCTCCGTAGAGGCAGACGTTGAAAAAGGAGCAAACACAGCAGAGAGAAAAAAACGCCATAATTAATGTAGTAAGTAGCTCATATGTGGGTCTTGTCTTGGCACCCACCGATCGATGATCCCAAACCGAGTGTTTGATACTCCGCGTAAATCCACTTCTAAGGAGTGTCCCCAACACTATTCAAACACTGCACAATCAACTGCGGAATTCCGTCACATCCCACAATCAACCAAAGAGCCGTCACCAAACCCTCGTTCGGAAAAGCTCGCTTGTGGCTTTGCTTACACACTGAGACGCACTCAACTACCGGTCGCATGTTTCTTATTTCACATACATGTGGTGGTGTACCCACAGCTAACAGCAGTAGCTACCAATTTAATGCATGCATACGCCACGCAGAGAGTGAAAGGGAGGAAACAAAACAGGTGAAAATAAAAATACAATTTAATCTCACTTGCTCCTAGAAAAGCGACAACAGCTGACTTTGATTGTCGTCGGAGACAAGGAGGGAACGAAAGCACTGATGATGCGCGGAGATGATATTTGCCGAAGAGTTCGAAACGGATCAGGCACTTCGTCGTCGTGCTCTTGCGGGCGTCAACGAACATTGATTGATTTATGATCCTCTCTGCAGCTACGGGCTTCAGATCGATCTGTCTGTGAACACACACGCGCGAGACTCTAGCTGCTGCTGGCTCACGACCTCCACCGCGACTTGGTACACGACACACAGAGCGCGTGGTAATGGCGAGAAAAACAACAAACCCAAAAATGCACCTCACCCACTTGGTTCGTCTACAACACATCATCTGCTAACCGGTTTGCTGGGGACAAAGCCATATCCATCCGCGCACTAGAGCTGGATCTTGGAAGCAAAGCCACGGGCGGTTGACCAATGCCCGCTCTTGTAGTCATGCAGCTTTCAGAAGACGACGTGAAAGAAGGCGACCCCCCGCCCCCCCCACCCGTTCGGTAGCCTACAACGTAGCGGTGCGGTACCTCTTGGACCCCTTTCCCCTCCGCGCAGCCGTCCCGCCTCCATCCGACGGCGTTGACAGCTCTTTGACCAAGCTAAGGATGTCAGGCGGGGCGAGGGCTAGCCCCTGCTGCTGCTGCTGCTGCTGCCGTTGCTGTTGGCGGTGGTAACAATGATCACGGTTGTTCTCCGAGACAGCAGCACCGTCAGTAGGGGTGTGCCAGGATCCATCGACGACGAGCGTCGGTGTGGCACCCGGAGGAGAACGGGGTGCCATGCCGTAGTTCGCGCGCAAGTCCCTCGGCGGCCAGCTCCAGCGCGTGCTGCTGTCGTCGTTACGCTGCTGCTGGTGTTGCTGGTGCCTGCGCTCGACCCCCCAACCGTTGCCACCCGCCAGAATATCGCTGCGGACACTGCTGCAGAAGTCTGCGTCGGAGAGCACAGCGAGGAGCGTCGAAGCGCCGGCCACGACCGCCTCCGGTGTCCACCCCGAGATAGGGCTGCACGCGCCGTCCCCGCAGTCGGCGGCCTCCGAATCGCTTATTCCTCCGGAAGAGTTCTGGAGCATTCCGCTGCTGCTGCTGCTGCTGCCGCCCGCTGCGGGGAGCACGTCGACGACGATGGGTTCGACCTCGTCGCTGATTTTTGCCGAGGGTGGCAAACCGCCGTTACTTTCGCAGCCGCCGCCGTAGCCGCCGCCGGCACCCGGGCTCCGCTGGGCGAACACCACATTCGGGGAAAATGCGCGACTCGGGAGCATCTGGTACATCATTGGCTCTTGCGGTGCCAGTGCCGCCGAGGGCGGCGGCTGACCCGCAAACCTGCCTGCCGGACGAGGAGCTGCGGTGGTAGCGGTTTGGTCGGTCGTCAACACCGACGCTTGTTCGGTGGCCATCAGTATCGCCTCCAGCGCCTTTGGCGCATCGTTCAAGGGCGTCGCGTTCTCCTCCACGTAGGACGGGATCCAATCAAAACCGCCGGGTGAGCGGTTGTCGCTCGCAACCCCCACCGATGCCCAGCCCTCCGCCCGGTCGTCGTCTGAGAAGTCGTCGCAGCTCCACAGCACATCGTCCTCAAGGCTCGACACGAACACGTCCTGAACGTCGTCCCAGCTCAGCGAAGACGAGCTGCCGTCGACGCTGGATCCCGAGCCTGGAGCTGACACGGAGCTCCCGCGGCGCGGCACCATCCGCGGGAGCGGGGCGAACTTGCCCCCAACGGTCTCCTCCGCCGCTGATGATTTGGATCGCGCTAGGGAAGGGAACTGAGCAGGCAGAGCCGGTGCCACTGGCTGCTGGCGTGCGAAGCGACTGGTGGCAGTGCCGTTGGACGGGGAAACAACGGCATTGGCTGCTGCTGCTGCCGGGGCGGGGCTCTTTACTGCAGGGATCTCCTTCCCATCTGCGTCCTTACGGTGGTGGCGAGGTCGGGGCTCCTTCCTCGCCACCTGCTGGCTTGGGTGCCGGCGGCCGGGTGCGGCCAGCTGCTGCCCCTTCGACAACGACGGCGATGCGGGCGCCACCGGGGCCGTCGGAGAGGGTGCGAGATCAGCTGGTGTGCCGGGAGGGACGGTCTTGAGCAGCGAAGATTGCTGCTGCTGGTGATGCCACCCGGTGGTCGTGGAGGGAGCAGCAGCAGCGGAAGCTTGCTTCTTCGACGGCTTCTTCGAGGTCTTGCGCCGCTTGATGGGCTTGTCGGTAGTCGTCGTGGAGCTGATGCTGGTCGTCGCAGTTGCCGCCACCGACTCCGCCGGGGCCTTATGTCCCTTCGGGCCGCTCTTCTGCCGCTGCACAGCGAGAAAAAACGAAAACGGAGAGAGAGAGGCGGGAGGGCGTTACACAGCAGTAGACACGCAGCTGCCAGCTGGACAAGAGACGCATCAATCTGCCACAAAGGGGAGCGAGTGTCCAAAAGGGGGAGAAGCTTTTGTGTTCGAAACTGGTAGATACATGGGATGGATACGGTATGCGTATTCTGTGTTGTAAACGTGTGAAACACCGTCGGTAGAATACATACGTTTTTGGTCTACATGTGTCGCTCTCCACAAGGTAGAAAAGGTTGTTTTTCGTCCTCGAACTGGATTGCCTGGATACACGGCTTATTGTCTACGCTCCACGTAACATGGGTGTCCCCAGCGACCATTGAACGCTTTAACGGCGCTTTACCCGCAACGTTTCCGAAGCACAACACCACACACGATGTCACATGTCTCTTCTCATCCCGCTCACTTCAAGTCAAGTACAGCAGTACAGCAATTTGTATGGCCGCTCTTTTTCGCTCTCTGTGCACCTATGCCTACCAATTCTCGTGCTCGCTCTTTTCTTCTCTCGCATGTCTATCGTGAGAAAATAGCCAGTTTAGCAAGGCATGGTGAGTGAGGATTCTGCCAAGTATCGCTGCGAACGCGTTGCATTCAAGGCCTATGTGGCGTACTCGCGGGTTGAACCACCTGCTGCCATACCTGCAAACCCGCTGCGGCTGCTGTGGCACACAACTAATGACTGTATGTACCTACATCTCATTTCTGGTTTCTCCTCTCTGTGTCGCTCTCTGCTTATTGTCTCACCGTGCTGTAGACGCAGCGAATGCTCTTTTTGCAGCAGAGCAAGCAGCGCAGTTCCCCATCACACCGCCGCTTCGCCAAAGCGCACGCGTCGCACTGGGTGTCGGCAGCGACAGCACGCACAAGGAAGGGATATCACGTGAGCGACAGCACGCACAAGTAAGGGAAATCGCGTGAGCTTCAAGGCAAAAACGTCGGTGCCACAACTTGCTCGTCCTTGCATGACAAACATCTTGTTTGTTGTTCTTCTGATGCAACTCGAGACCATCTATCTCGTCACCTCATCCTCTGGCCTACTCACCGATCGTCGCATCTTGAGTGTTGACTGCTGGTCGCCTGGGGCGTCCTCTCCGTGCAATCTCTTCTTGATCAGGCTAGGCATGGCGGACGTCTGCGTGTTTATCGGAGGGAGAAGATGTCAGCGGGTGTAGGTGCGTGTTTTAATTAACCTCGCGTGCCTCTGCGAAAAACGCCCGAAAGAACCGAATCTTGTCATTGTAAGAAGCAAATCACAAGACAATGGTCGAGCATAAGCTGTTTCTCGGAAGCTTCTTTTTGGTGAAGTACTCAGTGAATGTGGCGGGTCATAGAATATCGGAGATCGAAGAAGTGCATGTTGTGGCGTTGCCTTGAAACACACTGGTTCCCAGGGCGTGAGGATGGACTACTTCTAGATGAAGTGGGATGGGCCCGTCGTAGAAGGCCTTGGGGGTTGATCACCGTCTTGGTTCAGCTGCATATATATTTTTATTCTGGCGGCTCATGCGCCTTGCCGGAGATGACGACCATCTCCGGAGATGCCGATTCAGTCGTTGGAAGCTGTCGTCAAACGGTTTAAGGCGACTTGTTGGGGGTCCCCTTCAACCACGAAACACAAATTACTTGTTAATTGAAGGGTGGACCTTCCTTCCGATTTTCCTCGGCCATGGTTGATAAAGCAGCAGACACGTCGTCATCCAGTCATTCATATCTTGTCACCCGACAACTGATGACGACGGATTGCAACGGTGTGGGGTGTTCGCCGGGGCTAAATAAATTTTTGATGCGTACATTAGGTGCAGATATAGATCAGATAAAACGAAGAAAATAGACGAGATGATGATTGACGCTCCCTTCATCCAAGTTGTGTGTGTCGAAAGGCACCACTTTCTCCGCGTACCAAAATTCCTGGGCGTGTGTACCGACAGACAGAGGGTAGGTACTGCTGTAGGCGCGTGGTGGTGGCTGGGCATACCTGACGAGCGAGCAAAATATGTATGATACACAAAATATGTCTGTCAGTCGTCTGTTCTGGCGGGATCCAGTGTGGAAAAGTGCGGTCTCACTTACTTCATCTAGAGTTCTGGACGAGGTAAAGAGTAAGGGCGGGTATTAAGGACCACCCCCCCTATGAGGACCACTTTTTTCAAATGAGCATATCTCGGTGCAAAATCTGCCGTCCCCCTCAATTTTTTCTTGAATTTCTCGCGCGAGAGCGTTAGCTTTCGTTTGCGCACCTCAGCGCGACGATGCGACCATTCCACCACGAGCTACAGCACCAGATGCACCAGCACGGATGATTCTGCGTAGACTAGCACTTTTGTCCGCCTTCCTGCTAAGCATGGGTCGGAGTAGAGTGGACTCCGCAGCGGCCGAGAAGGCGTGTGCAGCGGTCCGCAACGGCAGCATGTCACGCTACGCTGCCGCTGCTGCCTTTGGGTTGAGCAAGACCTCGCTACTGCGGCGCCTGAGCGGTGAGTGCGACATGGACGCACGGGTTGGCCACGGGACTGTGCTGACGAAAGAGGAAGAAAATGCGCTGGAAGATGTGTTGCTGTACGCTTGTCGGAACTATATTCCTCTCACGAGGAACGACCTGAAGGAGCGTGTGAGACAGCTCTGCAACGACGGCCGGCCGATCCCATGGGACCCCGACAAGGGCCCGGGGAAGTCGTGGTTGCAGGGCTTCCTCCGAAGGCACGATCGCATCAGCCTTCGACTCGCCCGCATCTACGAGGCCAACAGGATGACCTCGCCGGAAGATGATCGTCTGCACAACTTCTACAAGTTCTGGCAGGAGTTCGTCAACGAGCACAAGCCAGCACCCGACCACGTTTGGAACACGGACGAGTCAGGTGAGCATCTAGACTAGATAGTC